ACCCTATATACAAGCAAGCGCGTTGCCGAGGCAACTAGCAAATCAATTGTTTAATAAGGTAGATAGATTTGGATGTGAGTTGTCCCTGTATTCGGACGTATCTCACGATCTGCTCAATCCTATATCTTTCGCTGTGTTCTCTGTGTTCTCTGTTACGTGTTTCTTACTAATAAATGTCTCTTGTTCCTTTTTCATAATACTCGTATTTTTTATTTCTGCGATTCGGGAATACGTAAGCGCGTCCGCAAAAGCGACTTCGTGAATCGGCCGCGCGGGCGCAACACGCGGTGTCCGAGTTGGAAGGCTCTGTGTTGAGATAGGTAATGTTTTGGTAAAACTATCTCATTTACTTAATCTAAATACTTAATCTAAGTTGGCAGTATTGATATTTGTATGGTAACTTTTACTTAGTTTCTTTTTTGAGTAATTTTTACTTAGTTTCTTTTTTGAGTTTCTTCACACTATTCTCTTTTTGTTCCCGCCAAATATTATATGTACGCGGAGGCATTATGAGGCTTGAGTAGGTACGCTCCAGCGTAGGGCGCAAAATTTGATGGAGAGCAAAATTTTAATAGGCAGCGCTATTCTTGTAAATATAAAGCTCTACTTGATATTTTAAATAAATTAGTTAAAAATGGTTTTCTGGAAATATTTTCAAATTTAGCAATAGCGTTACAGATCTCATTAACTATGCCAATGTCTGTGGCAACAGATAGTACAGAAGCATCTTTTTTAAAATTAAAAATAATAAAGAATTATTTAATAATTGAAATACAATGATGCAGACGGTCATACAATTTAGCACGTATGATATCAATTGAAAAAGAATTGGTGAACAGTTTTGATTACATAATCAGTCTTGATTACATAACAATTGAAAACGTAATCAGAATATATTCAAAAACTAAAGCTAGAAAATATAATATGTTGCATTAAGCGTCAAATATATTATTACAAAAGAAAATATAAAATTTATTGTATTCGTATTCATGTGCTATGCAAATTGGTTGAAATTTCTTTAGCTGTTAATTCGTTGCCGTTGGCGGGGGATTGGTGCTTCAGAGACTCAGTAATCCTTATGATAAGGTACAAAAGCAAATTCCAGCGCAAGGCGCTAAAGGCGGTTGTATGTATGCCACGTTTATAGAAGATAAGATTTTTCGCTATTAAAGAATTAAAGCAAATCAGTGAACGTTCTTTTACTTACCTGAGGAAGAATACACGTTCACACAACACTCTGGTTGAGATTATATTGTACATATTGCATTACATGATAAATAAATGTATATTAAAAAAAAAATTCTTTTTAAAATTATCTTTTCCCTAGTCTCTCCATCTTTCATTTTCGTACCTTTGTATTGAATTAGTCGATAAAAAAACGCGCTTGGTTATTCATAGTATATCTAAAAATATTATAATTAGTTGATAAATTAAAATTATTGCTAAGTTATATCATTAAAAAATCGTAAAATAAATACCATATCTATAAAATCGCGTGCGAGAAGAAAAGAGAATATGGGAGAGAATATAACGGGAAGAAGAGACGGAGTGCGAATAAGATGATAAGTATAGGGACGTAATGAGAGAGAACGAACTGCATCCTACAATGGGGAGAGAGAGAATGAGTTAGAAAGAGAACGCAATGGGTGGGAGAGAGAAAGAACGAAATCCCTTCTTCTCCTCCCTTGCTTCTCGGACCTAGCGTTAGCGATGCACTACCTCCTCTCTGACCTCTCTCTTATACGCACGCACACACGCACGCATATACATGCGCACTAACACATAATAGTTTAGAATCCTCCTTGCTTTCCTACTGTATTTATAAATGTTCATTAAAATTTTGATACAAGATGTTTGCTGTAATTTAATCATTTAAAATATCTCTATTATTTTTTTATAATACGAGAAAATCACAGGAATCTTGTTCGATTCGAAGAGGCACATATTATAATGAGCAAAAAATTTTTCTCAAGGTCATGTTTTTTTAGACTTCAAGGTCACTTGCACTTTTTTAAATGAAATTGTATGATTTTTTTGTAATATTCCTCTAATTAATCTGAATATAAAAGTATTAGGTATAGTAAAAAAAAATCCATTATTTTTCCAATAGATGGCTTTAGTAATCTGTATCACGCGTAGACGAGATACAGATTACTAAAGCCATCTATTGGAAAGATAATGGATTTCTTTTTACTACACCTAATATTAAGATAATGATATAAAAAACCAACAGTATGAGATCTTTTTACCTTATTTTATATATTGACATAAAATAAATTAAATAACTCATCTGTTCACAAAAGTATTAAGGTGTGGTTATAAAAAAATTAATAATTTACGAGTTCTTTAACATTTTATATCAATATATGCTAGAATAAAATATAAATAAAATATCTCGTAAACTATTGATTTTTTTACATCATTATCTTAATATGCTTTTATAAGCAGAATAATTAGAAGAATCATATAATAAAAAAAAATCATATAATTCCATTTAAAAAAGTGGAGGTGACTTTGAAGTCTAAAAAAAATGATTAAGAAAAATTTTTGTTCGCCATAATACGAGGTGTGGCTATTAAATAACGAGACTGACGCTGCTACAGAAGAAATACGCATGCGCCAAATGCCAGCGACCGACAGCTGTTTAGCGTGAAGCCTTCTCTTTCGAATGCAGTACTTCTCGCTTCTGTAAACAAATCTGTATAGCCGTAGCCTTCTTTCGTATTAGAGTTGTTTTTTTGTTTCGCCGGAAAAATGATAAGTGTAACAATAGAGCAACGAATTGTTGTGAAATTTCACGTGAAACTTGAAAAAACCGCTACTGAAACTTATAATTTATTGGAAGAAGTGTATGGCCATGAATGTTTATCGCGTGCACGTGTTTTTGAATGGTTTAAGCGTTTCCAAGACGGCCGAGAAGACGTTGAAGATGATTCACGCCCGGGTCGCCCTTCCACGTCAAAAACGGATGACAATATCGAAACAATCGGTAATCTGGTTCGATCCGACCGTCGGTTAAGTATTCGTGCGATTGGTGAAACTGTAGGAATTGACAAAGAATGTGTACGGCAAATTTTACATAACAATTTTAATATGAAAAAAGTGTATGCCAAAATGATATCTAAAATTCTCACGTTTGAACAACAAGAAGCTCGCAAAAATCTTTGTACTGACACTTTGAATGCCATTGAAAATGACCCAAACTTATTGGAAAGGATAATAACATGTGACGAATCGTGGTTTTTTACTTATGATCCCGAAACGAAGCGCCAATCCATGCACTGGAAGAACTTCACCGAGAGCCAAAAAAGCTCGAATGAGCAAATCAAAAGCAATGATGATTGTTTTTTTCGATATTCATGGGATTGTGTACCTTCACTGGATTCCTGAAAGTCAAACTATTAATCAATATTACTACCTTCACGTTCTTGCTGAACTCCGTGAAAGAATAAGGAAAAAACGACCCGAATTGTGGAAAGACAAGTCATGGGTTCTCCATCAAGACAATGCGCCGGCTCATTCCGCATTGTCTGTTAAGAGGTTTCTAGCCAAGTACAGCATCCCAGTGTTAGACCATCCGCCTTATTCGCCGGATCTTGCACCGTGCGACTTCTATCTGTTTCCTAAGGTGAAATCTGCATTAAAAGGAACAAGATTTGAGTCTGTTGAAGCTGTGAAAAAGAAAGCGGCACGCGTCCTGAAGGAGCTGACAGAAAACTTTCAGCACTGTTTCAAACAATGGAAGATTCGCATGGAGCGTTGTAGGGATAGAGGAGGGGTGTATATTGAAGGTGATAATAAGTAAATATGTATGAAATCAAAATAAAATGTTTTATAGCGTCAGTCTCGTTATTTAATAGCCACGTCTCGTATGTGTCTCTTCGAATAAAAAATCCCTTGTGGTATTTTCTCTTTTATTATTAAAAACAACGGAAATATTTTTAATGAACAAGTTACAGGAAACACCTATATAAAAAATTAATCTATTATATAATAGTATAATTTTCGTATGAAATTTAAACAAACTTTATGATAGAGTTAATTTTCCTCCAAGAATTTTTTTCGTGCTTTTTCTAGAAAAGTAATAGATAAATATCTATAAGAGATCACAACCCAGGTAGCAAGGTGTTTATTTAACGTCATTAATTAGTCATTCTTATGATGAATATGACGTTTAAAATGTCCAAACGTAAAAAGGTTGTAGATTTGTCACAAGTACATAATGTTAAAAATACGTCATTTTTTTCGTGTTATTGACGGTAACAAGGTATCCGTCCATTTGACGTCGTCATTAATTAGTTATTCTTATGACGAATCTATACGGAGACGAAATGAAAATTACAAAAATGAACAAATTTGTTAGGTATTGAAGTTATAAATATTCTAGTAAATTCACTACTTTTATAATTTCCATCTCATTTTAAAAACCATAATAAGCTCCTTGACGTCTAAACATCGTAAAAATGGATTCTTATATTTCTTGTCACTCACACAATGTCATAAACTAACATAAAAAATATATCATTATTTTCATGTTATTAATGGAATAAATATATGACATTATTAATTGATCACTAATAATGTTACTAGTACGTCGACAATTGGTCATTTATTCAACGTAATTAAGTATAACATTGACGTTATAAATAAATAACATTAATTGGTCAAAAGATGACGTCATTATTACATTTTAAATAGATCACATAACGTCAATAATTTAAAATGACCAACTATCGACGTCAAAATCACGACAGCCTGCTACCTAGGAATATAGATATCAAAAAAATAATTAGATAAAAAAAAATGAACATATTTTAGATATTCTAAATTTAAATAAATTTGCTTTGGATACGTGAAAAGAATAATTTAATTTTTTGTAGTTTACTATGTACAATTCTCTTTCTTTTTTTTTTCAAGGAAGAAAAAATATAAAATATAACATTAAGTGATTTTTTTTAGTTCCGATGAACTTAAAGAATTTAGAAAAACAGATTGCGTACCAATGTCCAATTGACTGGCATTTATCCTTAATTCTTGCGTTATTTTATTCATCAACCTCAGATCCTCTCTGATCGATTCTAAGCCAGCAACGATGTCATTCAGATTTGTCAGGGAGACGGCGTGAGAATATTCTGCCAGTTGTTCGGTAACGATTTTTCCACTGGCCTGCAGGATATTGTTGAGCGTAACTTCAAGTTCCTCGGGATTGGTTTTGAGCAAATTGTCAATCTCTAGCTTCGTGGTAGTCAAGTAGAGCTTGACGTCTTTCAGACTTGTCTTGGCTTTACACGGAAGCTCTTTGGTTCCCTCCTGCATGTACTCGTTTGTCACAAAGGCACACACCACGCCGAATCTGCAGTTAATTGTCCGTGTTAATTGTTTACGTTTTATTAGTGACGAGACAGAAAAGAAAATAGAATTTTATTATTTTTATACAAAGCTGTCATTAAACATACATGTTTAACATTCCGAATATTAATATCATATTTAACAACAGAGGGAATTAAATTGCGCGTGAGACAATTAAATTTCGAAGAGAAGAGTAAGTTAGTTATTGCAGTGAAATCATGCAACGCATAATATATTGATACATTTATTGGCAATCAGCAGAAAAAACAGCTTTGCAACTTTTTTGTAAGATACTTGAACATGATTGATTTATACATTTAGATCCAGTGAACTAAGAGCAAGACCAATCATATTAAAAAATTTTATATTTGCAAAATAATTTTTTCTGCTCAAAGCAGCCATTAGTACTTCTAAATGAAAAGAAGGAAGTGAATTTCAGGAATTTTCTAGTTTCAAAAAATCTTAATGATATGCACCAACCGTAAACATCACAGCAGGAGTTTCTATTGCCGTATGTTTCAGTCATCATTTTTGTTTCATTTATAATGCCACTATATAATTAATGAAGTGATTAAGCAAAACTCAATAAATAAAATTAATCCTTTTATGTCTGATTTGTTTTGCGAAGAGAAATATTGGATTAGGAAAAAAGTCCCTTTACAAGTTGGTAAAAGAACTTTTTTAGCAACCCATATAATCTATTTTTTTTAAATTGACAATTACACCACTTGATAACGTTTCAGCTTTAAGAATCTGTATTTTTAATGAAGTTACGAGCAATAAAGTCAGCATGTTTCTTTTTATTTAATCCACGAGTAACTCAGAAACAAAAAAATCATAGAAACATTTTTAAAAAACGATTTTGTAAGAAAAATTTCAAACTTTCACGATAGATAGTCGAAAATTTGCTCAAATTTTTTTGGGCACGCTACAGATCAAAGTGAAAAGAAAATTTTTATAAAAATTACGAAACTCACATAAATATAGCAAAAATCCTTTTTTAAATTTAAATTTTGATTAATAAATAAGGCTCTGTAAGTATAAAACAATGTAGTACAAAAGAAGGGCAAAGAGCCAATAATGCAACAAAGAACTTTAATTTAAATTAAAATTAAAAATTCATATAACAATTACAATTGACAAAAACAAACATTTCGACTCCGATCGAGTCATTTTCAATGTTGTAATATTTAAATCATCGTTATAAACCAAAAATATACATGGTATTACAATACTATTATAATTTTTAATCCCGTATTCTTCATTTCGTGTAGTACGCTGCGAGTTATTTTTATCAAAAATCAAAGTAGACATAAAACAATATTCTTGTCAGTAAGTTTAAATTTTGATCACTTTTAACGAAAACATATTGATGAGAAAAAGTCTTTACCTTGTAAAAGGACTTTTTTCTAATCCAATATATTTAATTTAATTATTTTTAAAGATCTTTTTGGGAATAACTTAGAGACCCTATATTTAGTTTAATTATTTTTAAAGGTCTTTTTGGGGATAACTTAGAGACCCTCAAGTAAGAGTCTGGCCATTCTTAACTTCATTCTGGTAGGACAATCTTGAATCAGACAAACATGAACTTCTTATAGAAAATCCTTTATCACTTGAATTATTACAATCAGACACGCAATAATTAAGCATTTTTTTTGTTACTAATAAATTATTTTACAGTGTCTTGCCTGATGAGATTTTTTACTATGGATAATAGCACGGGTAATAATCTTTAGATTATGACCCTATATATCCTGTAATACAGAGCCAAATGTTGCCGCCATATATAATACTATACTCTCTGTAATATAAAGCGAAGTATTTCCGCCATATTTGTCCCATGACTAGACTTTTACTTGAAAATCTCTAAGATAGCTAAATATGGCAGTAAATCAAAATGTTAAAAATTAAGATGGTAAATTCAAATCATAAAATGATTAATTACACAGTCCAACAAAAAAATTGCGAATAGAACTAGCATTTCTTAATAGATTTAAGATCGCTAAATCCAAATCCACCAGCGAAAAATGCCCATTACATCAAATTTTTGAGATAAATTTTTGAATAATATGAACCAAAAACAGTGTTTTTTTGCCATATTTACCATTTTTTTTATGGCCAAATAAAAATATCCTTCAATTTCGTAAACGCCATTCTAAAAAGTGAATTTTTACTTTTAAAACGAATTTTATTATGTGATTTTTTTTCATCAAGTTATGAACGTTTTCTGAATTAATGTAAAATGATGGATCAAATTAGCGGAATAAATCGCATTTGATTAAACATTGTAATGTTACCAATATCAATCAATAGTTGCAATGTGATATATTGCATTATAATATTACAACAATATCGTTCAATTATTACATTGCAGTTTATAGCATTGCATTATTACTACAACAGCGTTGGAATATTATAATGCATTTTATCGTAATGCCATCTTTCTAAGATATAAATAATATTTGATTATTTACTAAACAAATATTAAATATTGAAAAATTAGGAATATGGATTAAATATAACTCACAATAGATACAAATAAGTTGTGTTTTATGTCTTATTTGTGTCTTATCTATTGCAGTTAAATTTAATATTCATTTACAATTTTTTTTATTTCTTCAATATTCAATATTTTTTTCCTTGTTCTTAATTTATTTATTATATGCGGGGCCAAATAATACATCATTGAAATATATATACAAGTCAGTGTTCCAACATTCGCCATTGAAAATATAATAGTAACAAAGGTTTAGAAATATTAAGTAAAATGATTATTTATAAATTTTTATTTTAAACAATAGTCTTTGAGAAATATAAAAGGTTTTAATATGACTATCCTAACTATACGAAATATTGCAATATTTTAATATTTTAATAGTGCGCAATATTATAAAAATTGCAGCAGTATTGCTGTAATATTAAAATTTTTATATTTTATAAAATATATTGCAATAGTATTGAAAAATATTTTGTAGAAAATATTGCAATTTATTGTTGCAAATGTTACGATTTAGTAAATTATATTATATTTAGAGAAATATTGCATACATGTTGCTGTAAAATTATGCAACAATTATTCCATTTTTACTAATTGCTAACATATTATTGTGCTTAGTATTATATTCCAAAATACATGATAAATATGATAAAGTTATGATCAAAAAATATTTCGAGCCTAGAAAGCACATCCAAAATGGAGAATAGGAATCTCCAGGAAATTCGTCTACTCGACTTATAAGAAGAAGTATTCTTTCTTATAGAACTTCTGGACATTTTCTCTTTAGGAAATGTGTACCCCTTTCGTGGCAGGACCGCATACTTACTTATTGGATTGTAATATAATAATATATTGCAATATTTTCTACAAAATTAAAATTGCAATATTTTGCAATATTAAAATATATCATATATAACATTGTTCAATAATAAAAATTAAAAATAAAAGTTTAGAAAGGTTATGAACTAAAAAATAATGTAAAAGCGTAAATAAAGGAAACAAATATAATTATCACGATCTAAAGCAAATAACAAATAATAGACGTCGTTTCAAGCTCAATCGGGTCATCCTCAATGTTGAATTTTTTAGACACGACTACAATTGTTGAGGAGAATAGAATTGTGTTTGATAGATTTCAGAAACAAGTTCGGGGAGATTTCTTAACTTTTATTCTCACCACCTTTCATGTCATAAAAAAGGCATTATTATAGGTGCAATATATAGAATCTTATTATTGTCACCCAAAATTTCATGAGCATAATTTTATAGACGCTGTTCACACTTTTTTAGAGAATAGTTATCCTCTCCATTTCATATTCGTCATGATTCACAACAGACTCTTTTTTTACTTTCGTAAATACAAAAACTCTCATATTTCTTATTTTTCTAAAAATGAGATATCGGCGGATAATATTTCTCCATACCTTATGTTAAATCAATTTCTGGAAGTTTTAGACCTATCGTCTTTAAAATGAATTTGAAGTGAACTTATTCAATTCCTAACACGTTAAATAAATATATAAAAAGGGGTGGTAAAAGATCAATTAAATGTTTTATCACATCAAGGAGTGATTTACAAAATATTTTTTATGGAGGATTGCGAGGCTAGTTATATGGTCAAACGAAGAGAAAATTAAGAATTAGATTACAAGAACATAAGCTTGACATAAATAAAAATACGGGCTCTCCAACTATCATCATAAATCATCATATTGATTGCAACCACAATTTTGGAGCAAAATGTAAAAATTCTTGATAAGGAACCTTCTTATAAAAAAAAGTTGGTTCATATTAAAAAGCAAAACCAGGGTCTAAATTGGAGCATATGTGAAATAATTCGACATTGCAGTCAAGCGCAATATTGCATATGCTGTAACCCGCTAGGAAAATGAGATGCACCCGCTGCATCTCGCGTAGGAAACTAAACCAAAGGATCACATATATTTTAAAACTTAGATTTCGAAGCCTTCTCAAACGGCCAAAACAATTAATTTTTCTCTGGATATGAGGTTGAATAAGCACTCGAGAGAGGAGCGACACTTCTCCGCTGACTTTCGCCGTATTAAATTGTGTAAATCTGATGCACTCAGAATAAAAACTTATATTCGAGATAAAGTTGAATTGATCATTGATACTGGTCAACCGTAACTACTTCACTATCCATAAGACATATACCAAAGTATAGTAGTAACAATTTATATCAACCAAAAAACAACGAACTATTGTCGAAATAAGATGCATGTTGTATTTCAAGAATCCTATAAAGATGCTCTGTGCTGTAAGTATAAATCATAAAGCCAAATATTAATGTTTATTAACATATAAGCTTATTAACATTAACATTTAACAATTTTTTTATGTTAATAAACTTATATTAATAATTAGGTTTTATTATTAAGACTATTAAGAATACTAGACTATAGCACAGACTTATAGCACAGGGCACTTTATACGATTCTCGCAATATGACATGCATCTTGTTTTAGTAATAGTTCATTATGTTT